CCCCAAAACCCCAAAACCCCAAAACCCCATTCTGTGAAAATGAATTGAATTGGTTGAAATTAATAATTATCCAATATAAATTTAGATGCTATAACTAATTACTTTTCCTTTAAAGTGCAATAAGACGGTAAGATTAAAACTCAATTATAATAATTTGATCTATAGAATCATAAACAAAAGCTGATGCTGAACTAATTGATTTACCAGCAATAATTAGCTGCATAACTTGCTTAACTTCAAGCTTTAATAGCAGTATCTTAAAGACAGCAACCTGTACCTCAGCCTCACTATTTCATGATGAATCCAATCTAATCGTAGCTTGGATGCAATATAGTCTAAAACCCTTGCTTCAATGTTTATTGCCAATGAGAGATTCCTCAGCCAATTTGCACAACTATTTGTCAAGTGCCTAATTGCCCTGAGATTGCAGAGCCTTGCAACTAAGTAATCTGCCATTAAAAATGTGAAGAAGATGATGAGGACTCTGATCATGAATGCGTTGATGATGAAATAGACCAAAATATTGGTAAAAGAAAGTCATCAGTCAGTATCCAAGATCTTAATAATCAGGTATGTAATACTTAAATCAATCAGTGTCACTTGGCTCATCAAACTACATGTTCAGAAGTTATCCATCCCTGCGAAGTAGTTGTGACACATAGCCATCAGGAGTAACATTGTATCCACGATATTCATAAGAAAAGAGATCACAAGTAGTGTAATAAGCATAAAAGGAGAAACAAGAAAAACGATGCATCTCAGAATCTTATTAATGATGGCGATCTTAGCGAAGAAGAAAATCGGCAATTCAAGAAAATTAAGAATCAAATAAGCTGCCACATAACCCAATTTACTGATGAAAACGATAGTTAAGAGAAGTTGGAGTATCAATGCCAACTTTTTTTAGTAAATAGAGATAGAAATGCTGATAATGTTAGCTTTGAGAGTTAAGAGACAAGCTCCAAGTCAAAGGCCATTAACAGAATCATCCTAAACTCAAATATCGACCAGCTTAAGACCCTAGTTGAGGAATTCAAGCATTCTAAAGAAATCATCCTTCATGGATGTCCCCGTATTCAAAATTAAACTAAAAGAGGATCAGTCTTTCGTGGTGTATCTAAGAACGGCAAGAAGTGGCAAGTGATGGTCATGGGCAACAATTGTAAGTATTTTTCGGGATCGATAACTAGCGAGAGACTTGCAGCTCGTATTTATGACCGATTTGCTCTTTAGCACTTTGGACTAAGAGCCAAAACCAACCTAGACTACACAAAAGACTCATTATAGCAAATCATTAATGAGATCCAAACTTAAATTTAGGATGATATTGACTTTGAGGGATGCTGTAAGAATGTCATTTTGTTGAAGGGAGTAATAGCTCTTCAAGAAGCAGAATGATCTGTTTATATTATTGCTTAACTTAGAAAATCAAGTGAAGCCAAAATGAATAGAGGATTATCTAATGACTAACTTAATAACTATATCCTATTCAAGGACTTTCAAAATATATTAACCAATAAGTGACTTTATTCATTCTTGACTTTGCCATAATATTAACTCATGGGGTTTTGGGGTTTTGGGGTTTTGGGG